AAATGCCACGGCCTACCTGAGCATTGTTTCTGACCATGTCCATCCCTTTATGGCCACCATGTACCCATCCTCTGATGGCTACTTCCAGCAGGATAATGCACCATGGCACAAAGCTCGAATCATTTCAAATTGGTTTTCTTGAACATGACAATGAGTTCACTGTACTAAAATGGCCTCCATAGTCCCCAGATCTCAATCCAATAGAGCATCTTTGGGATGTGGTGGAACGGGAGATTCGCATCATGGATGTGCAGCCGACAAATCTGCGGCAACTGTGTGATGCCATCATGTCAATATGGACCAAACTCCCTGAGGAATGCTTCCAGCACCTTGTTGAATCTATGCCACGAAGAATTGAGGCAGTTCTGAAGGCAAAAGGGGGTCCAACCCGTTACTAGCATGGGGTACCTAATAAAGTGGCCGGTGAGTGTATATATATATATATATATATATATATATAACATATATACACACATATAAACAAAAACTTTTGTTAGACGTGATTAATCATGATTCATGATTAATCAATTTGACAGCACTAAAATTATCACATAAAAAGTATGTTATATTAAAAACTCTGAATTATTCATTATTAACTCATAATTTTTTACTTTGACTTTTGATCTCATATATTCAACTTTTTGTCTCAATGACAAGTATCTCATAAATCTGACTTTTATGCTTTACCAAAGCATTATTTTTGGGCTTCCACAAAACTTTTGCAACCACACGCGCATAACAATAAAAAAGTGATCAGAGCATACTTACGATTGCACTTTTTTAATGGACAGACTATTTATGGTTTTCAGAAAAGCTTTCAAGAGGACAAAAAGGAGGATAAAGAGACTGGACTGAGTAGCAAGCGAACACAAACCTGCACACAAAATAGCGGATGACATTAGCATGACAGACGATAATCTCGAAGCTGTCCTCCTTCTGCTTGGGGTCGGCTCGGTGGATGTACCGGCGGAACGCTGCCTCGATCCGTGCGCCGTCCTCGTGGTACTGCTGAAACCAGCACAAGAGTTTCACAACCATCCACGTGAGGACAGGAAGGACTCCACGGCGCACCCACGACAAAAACCAAACTCAACATTCCTCATCAAACAACAACAACATTTCAGACATCAGGCTTTAGCATGACCAGCAGAAAAATACTAAAGAAGCAAAATGTGCGTTTGATGTTTGGTGAAGGGATTTGAGATGGTTTTATTGTGGGTTTTGTACGCCAGCACTAACATTAGCGGTGTGTTCTGTTATGAGCTCACCGAGTCATCAACAGAAACTCAACACACAAAGACATAGACTTAGACTTCAAATGAGTGATAATAATGCCTTCAGATGGGCTAAGCAAGACTTTGTGTTTTGCACTGACCGCTGCCTCTGGTTTCCAGTGAGTGACAGGTGGGACGGGCTCTATGGGCGCACCCTCTCGCAGTAAATCACAGCTTTCAAGCTCCACTCCTAAAACGTAAGTGAAACAAATAACCTTTCTGAATCTCTACAATGGCAGCACTTTACAACATGAAATATCAATTCATAATATTTAATTAGCACACATTACAGGAACGGTTCAAGCTAAAATGTACAGGCCGAAATTGGTAGGTCAGTTATGTTCATGTGACATTGCATTGTCATGAAAGTTTATTCTTTCTATGCATTTATAAGGCTTACCCGTTTAAATTTTAAACCGTTTAAGCACAATAAGACGCGAAAGAGAATTCATTCGCTATTCGCACGCTTTTCTGACAGATGTTTACACCTAGCACATAAGAATTGAATTAAGTAATTTTTCACTTTTTTTTAGCCTAAACAGACAAATACATACAAAGTTATGTTGAAATGCCAGTCTTGGCGAGTATTCATATAATATAGAAAATATGAATTTCATCTGAAACATTGGCATTGTAACAACCTTATTTATTGTTAAAAGGTTACTTGTCTGCAGAAGTATGAATACATCCCGGCCATTTTGCCTTGTATGATTTATCCTATCATAATTTGATCAGAATATGACTGTAGAATGAGACTGTACCTGGCAGGTATTTGCTGATGATGTTGGCTGTCTCTGTTGCTCTGGTCATGGAGGAGTGGATGAGCACATCGTACTTCAATCCGAGCGCTGCTAATCTCTGTCCTGTTAACTCAGCCTGTTCACGTCCTGCAGCCAAGACAGGAACCAACAATTTTTTGGCTTAATGTAACATCTAATGGATTAGGCTCAGCATCTCTATTATTTTAATATATGCTGAGGGATCAGTACCTAAAGGCGTCAAGACCCTCTCTTTATCTCCTTCCCCCTTGAGGTTGTACTGAGAGTGTCGGATGAGGCAGATGTAGCGTGTGGCCTTGGGTTTGTTGTTCTCCCCATCTGGATTTCCGCTGTCACCAGCACTCTCCTTTCTCTTCCCGTTCACCATAGAGGAGGGCTCACGTCTGAAAGCGTCAAAACACAAATTAGGCCCACTGAACTCAATTTAGTAAGCAATGACATTGGTGGTTACTGTAGTAAATACAAACACTACACTACAGCAAATAGTTGAGCTATACTGGGAGAAACCTGACGGTTAATTAAGACACTCTTTAGAGACTATGCAATTGGTTGAAAGACATTTAAACACTCAGTATTTCAAACTGACCCATTTTTATTATTGAGTGAGTTCTGAGAAATAGTTTAATCTGTTTTTTCTCATGAACATTTTCATAGAATGTGTGCACGTGATATCTATTATGATTATGAAGCTTGAGGGTCAATTTGAACCACATATTACACAAAGGCAAAGACCAGAAATAAAAGCATTTTTTGAAGATTTTATTACAGTTTCTCAACTATCCTTTAAAGACTAATTCACACAGCACCGACAGACATCGACTAATGCCAACAGACATGTTCGTTTTGTAGGATCAGTCAGTGTGTATTTTCCCATTGGTCAGACCTTGTTTTCTCCGATTGAACATGTTCCATTGGCTTTTGTCGGGTTGTGGAATGTCTGAGAAGTGACGTCCTGTAATCTGGTTATTGCGTTTTGGTGCAGTGTAAATTAGCCTTAAGTGTATTTTAATTTACATTTATGCATTTATGCATATACTGTATTCAAGGTGTGATTTTTTTTTATCAGTTAAAAATAACTACAGTAATTTTTATAATATTCACAGTTTAACACAAAGTGTGAGTAGTGTTGATGTATTTTTCATAGTTTCCCTGATTTATTTATTTTATTAAATCCAGTTAGGGTCAATTTGATCCCCACCATAAAACTCATCCCCAGATTTTGACCATAATACAAGGGTATATCTGAGATTGAAAACATCAGTTGGTAGCAGACACTTATAAGAAAGCACATTAGGCAAGTACTCTATTAGTGACAATTAACCAAGGGTGCGTTTTCCAAAGCCAACTATGGTCTCAGCGCATAGAGTGTGCAATGGAACTTGCGACCATAGTTGGCTAACGATGCTTTTGGGAAACGCACCCAAGGTCTGACTACAACTTCCTGAGCCAATAAGATCAGTGACACCATTTCAATCAGTGCCAAATGTAGTTAAAGACCTGGGATCAAAGCCAAAGGATTTAAGATCAAACTTTAAACTGGGTGATCCATTAATTATCACCATTGATCAAGGCATTTTACCTAAGGCTGCCCCATAACGTTTACTGGCAATACTAAGTTAATGGTTTTCTGAACATGCAGCATGGTTGTGCCATGGTGTGCTCCTCCAGAATCCTCGAAATAGAATGTAAATACAATAGTAATCAATCGGAAATAACCCTCTATTTCTTACTTGTCCCAATTATAATCCCATCCGTTCGCAGTGGGAAATGCCGAAGGCTGCGCTGCGTGCACGGCAGCCAGAGTCTTTCTGAATCGGCATCGCTCCCCGAAGTACCCGTGATTATCTGCCGCGACCGCCGCGCACACCAGCACCGCAGATCCACCGGCGAACCCGCACGCGAGACTGACCGCTTTCCGAAACGACATGACTCAAAAGACAGGACAGGAATCAATGCAGAGTAACTAGCGGCTGCTCTTCAGCGGTATGACCATAGACTGTAAAAAAAAAAAAGGGTATGACGCATCAGTCAGTCGCTATGAGTCACTCACTCCGCTGAGGAAGTGTCACTGTTTCCTCCTTTCTCAAAACGTAAAGCAAAATAATTGACAGTCACTTAGACCCTGCAATCACGAATATGTGTTTTTCCCCTAAACCACGAGTAAGAGTGTATTTGGACTCCACAAATAAAGGGTTTTAAGTGATATAAACAGAACTTCCAAAAGCAGTCACGACTTTATTTTTGAAAACAGTGACTAAACGGCACATCCATTTTCAAAATAAAAGCCTCCAAAATACAAAGTAACAGTTTATGTCATGTCAGTTTTATAGTTCAACAATTTTGAGATTATTAAAAAATAAAAACAATAAACTTTCATATTTTAAAGTTTTAAATACGCTTAAATACCCATGGTATTTTATTCAATTAATTATACGTTTTAAAACATATTGAACTGATTACATGTTTATTTTTATGATTTACATAATCTTTCTGTATCACTTTATATAATTCCTTTTAAGAAAGAAAAGCTCTCTAATAAAAGGTAATGCCTACCTACATTAACTCTGTCTAATAAAAAATAAATTATGATTTATATTTTGTGTGATATTATATATTTCTATTATGAGTTTGTATAGAATGGTATTTTATTATTATTATTTAATAGATAATTATCGTAACAGTTGAAACAGTTCCAAATATGCTTAAATACTCATTTATATAATTAAACACATTGAATTGATTACATATTTAGATTATGATTTATTTGATTTATTTGATTTCTGTTTTGTATTCAATAGATAGCAATGCATAGGCTACATTAATTCCACTGGTTTACTGTCCAATTAAACGAAATTATTATTTATATTATGTAATATTATTGTGTATTTTGCTCCAGACCTATAGGTGGCAGTAAAGTGACAGCAAATGTTGCCCATGAGCAGTGGGTTTATGTTTTGATATTGGTGGCGACATGTTTTGCTGTTGTTGATTAAAATTGTTGTTTTACTTTGTTTGTGCGTATCATATACCCGCATATCTGTCTCTTACTTTATAGTAAAGATGGACACGGATGAGGAGGGAGACAACAATGACTGGGATCGCAGCTTAGAGTCAGACATGCTGGAGACAGGTGGGTTCATAGCTGGACAACTATGTGAACGTCAGTATAAGTATGTTATTATTTAAGTATTGCATGAATATTATGGACATTATTTACTTACGCACACATGTTTGCTTAGTCTAAATGCACAGCATATGTCTCATGACAGCTTTAGTTTGCAATAAAGACTTTAATTTGAATAATATGTGATCTATCATTTCAGAAGGAAGTATCACTAACAGAGTTACTTCCATATCTCATAAAGTGATTCTGCATTTTGACCTGGACTGCTTCTATGCACAAGTTGAGATGATCCGAAATCCAGCCCTCCGAACCAAACCTCTTGGTAAAACACCAGAGTATAAACTTTAAAACATTATTTCACTAAATATACAACAGATATGTCTCGGTGCAGTTACTGAAATAATACAGACAAAAACACATGAATTGTTCTGCTAAACAAATCCAATCATAAATATACAAATGTGCACAGTCAAGTAATACAGAAATAAGTAAACTGACTACAAATTCATAAAAATACTCGAACCTCATTCCTATCCTTCTGACATATGTAATGCCATACTTGCTCTGTCTACATCTTTGGTCTCTTAGGCATACAGCAGAAATACATTATTGTGACATGTAACTATGTGGCGAGAGAACAAGGCGTGACCAAGCTGATGTCAGTGACTGATGCAGTGGAGAAATGCCCACAGCTGGTGCTAGTGAAAGGAGAAGATCTCACCAATTACAGAGAGATATCCTACAAAGTCACTGGTCAGATCATACTTTTTTTTCTTTTACATATTTTATTATGTGTTTGTAAAGTGTATGTATTATATATAATTATAATGACAATGAATATACTATAATATAATTCGATTGTTTATATATATATATATATATATATTAGGGCTGTCAAATGATTAATCACGATTAATCACATCCAAAATAAAAGTTTTTTTTACATAATATATGTGGGTGCACTGTGTATAATTATTTTGTATATATATAAATACACACACATGCATGTATATTTAAGAAAAAAATATTATTTATATATAAAATATTTATATATAATATCAATTATATATAAATCTATATACAGTATATACATGAAAATATTTCTTAAATATATACAAGCATGTGTGTATATTTATATATATAATATAATTATACACAGTGCACCCACATATATTATGTAAAAAAAACTTTTATTTTGGATGTGATTAATCACGATTAATCATTTGACAGCCCTAATATATATATATATATATTTGCATATTTTCAGAGGTGGGTAGTAACGAAGTACATTTACTTCGTTACATTTACTTGAGTATTTTTTTGGAAATTTTTTACTTTTAATAGTAGATTTAATTGTGGGTACTTTTACTTTAACTCAAGTACATTTCTAATGAAAAAACTGTACTTTTACTTCGTTACGTTGGGCGACGTTCCTCTCGTTACTTTATTTTAATGCAATATGTTGTTAAAAGCGTTATTCTAAGCGCGCACTCTCTCTTTTTTCTGGGCATGAGCGATGCTCAATTCACAAATGAATCACTCTTTTGAGTCGATTCTGTTCAAAGACTTCATCAAACAAGTTGGGCAGATCTGTCTAAATCGGTTCGCGAATCAGTTTGAATGATCTGTTCAGTTTCCTGCAGGCACTGAATCGTCTCGGAGTCGTAACAGGAAGATTTAAGAACATCAAGAGCGTTGTATGAAGTGGCGGTCCACAGTCTACAGTAGGCTACACAGTCTAGAAAGTAAATCTGCAAATGCATCATATTTTTTGCCAGCGATGAAGATCTTTATTAGTTGAACATCTTCGTATGTTACTTCGTAAGCTGTCTGTGAATGAATTATTCCACACGACGATACATTCGATTTCATTCGGGTAATACATTTTACAACCAAACAGATTATTACTACTACAAAGTATGACATTACCCTTTTTTTGGACATATACATTACTTTATAGTTATACAATAAATAAGCTATCATCGTGCAGTTTATGAATGTTTGTACACACACAATGTGTATTGCGCAGTGGCGTGCGAACTCGACTTGAAAGCGAATGCCTTTGCCTGCCTTATTAGACTCAGTTAACCAGTTTAAAGATGCTTTCATAAATATAGCCTACAATTAAATACATTTTGGAGAACAGACAGAAGAAGATCGTGTATTTGATGATCGTTGTTTGTGTTGGGCATGACATGACTGCGAGCACATGTGAAGAGTTTTAACACTTTCTAATCTGTGTCAATGGTTCCCACCCCTTTACATATGAATGCAAAACTCCATAGAGTCACTTTATTCCGACATTGTCTAATAATCCAAATGTAGTTGTATAAGTTACTATACTATTATACAAACCAAAGGACAGGCAATGGTTTTCAGGCTACAGATATAATATACAGAAATAATGTTTGTCTCTTCTGTTTTTGTTGCAAATATAGCTTATCTAATTATGATAATAATTTAAATGAAAAAAATATCTAAATAATATCATGTTATATATACAGTATATATATATATAGGCCTATGTGATACAAAGTAACTAGTAACTAACTACTTGAGTAGTTTTTTCATTGGATACTTTTTTACTCTTACTCAAGTAACTTTTAAGATTATTACTTTTACTTTTACTTTGAGTAAATATTTCTATAAGTACTTGTACTTTTACTTGAGTACAGTTTTTGGATACTCTACCCACCTCTGCATATTTTATATACTACAATTCAAAAGTTTGGGGTCAGTAAGATTTTTTTTAGAGAAATAAATACTTTTATTCAGCAAGGACGCACTGAATTGTTCAAAAATTACAGTAAAGACATTTATAAAGTTAGTACAAAAGATTTCTATTTCATTGATAATAAGAAAGGTTTCTTAAGCACCAAATCAGCATATTAAAATTATTTCTGAAGGATCATGTGACACTGAAGACTGGAGTAATGATGCTAAAATTCTGCTTTTCCATCACAGGAACAAATTATATTTTAAAATAGATATTAAAATAGAAAGCAGTTATTTAAAATCATAATAATATTTCACAATATTACTGTTTTTACTGTAGTTTTGATTAAATACTGTAAATGCTACCTTGGCGAGCAAAAAAGATTTCTGTCAAAAGCATAAAAAAAGATATTTTGAACTGAAGTGTATATTTGCATAATGCTAAGTTAAATATCTTTTCAATGACTTTATCTGCCCAAGACTTGCTGATGTCATACTGCCCCCTAGTGGAGAGGCTGGGCTTTGACGAAAACTACATGGACGTTACAGAAATAGTGGAGAGAAGACTGAAGGAGACCCGTATTTCAGATCTCTCCTTCAGTGGACACATATATAAACATGAATGTGAGTCGGAGAGCCACTTCAAGCAAGTACTAACAGTTTTAAAACCAGTGGTTGTAGGGCATTGGTTACAAATCTAGACTAGTAATTCAAAGTTTGCTGTTTCAGACCCCATAACCGGCAGTTAATGAATTGGAAGAATTCAGCATACCCTTTTTCTTGTTGTTTTTCATGTTCAATGGGAGAATTGCTAGAGATTTCCGGTCATTATAAATCATCATGCTCATCTTCAGGTGTGGCAGTTGATGAGGAGAACGCCCGACTGGCTGTAGGCTCTGTGATAGCAGCTGAGATGAGACAAGCCATCTTCAGCGTGCTGGGACTAACAGGCTGTGCTGGCATCGCTAGCAACAAACTCTTGGCCAAGCTGGTGTCCGGCACCTTTAAACCCAACCAGCAAACCACCCTCCTGCCGTACAGCACTGCTGAGCTCATGAGCAGCCTTACAGGACTTATCAGAGTGCCTGGTAAGATGACATATAAGCTCACCCATCTCATGCCATATACTGTTTATATTCTGTAAACATTGGCTGTGTTTACAGGGATTGGTTACAAGACACGTGAGAAGCTAAAGGCTCTGGGTCTGGTCAGTGTGAGAGATCTACAGTTATTTCCTCTGCCTGACCTGGTAAAGGAGTTTGGTGAAGGGACCGCTAAAAGAATTCAAAACCTCGCCTGTGGCATTGATGAGTCTCCAGTCACATCTGCGGGTCCTCCTCAGGTATTCTCCATTATTATTATAGATTCAGTGTCATATGATCCTTCAGAAATCATTCTAATATGATGATTTTCTGATCAAGAAAATTTTCTTATTATTATCAATTTTGAAAACAGTTGTGCTCCTTAATTGTTGCTTAAAAGTTGTGCTTTTGTGGAAACCGTGATGCATATCTTTCAGGATTCCTTAAATGAATAAAAAGGTCAAAATAACAGCATATTTTTTAAATAAATTTTTTTGTAACATTATCAATATAAATGTCTTTACTGTGTCTTTTGATTAATTTAATGCATCCATGGTGAATAAAAGTATTAATTTCTTTAAAGAAAATCTTACCTATGAACGATAGTGTAAACAGTATATCCAAATATTTGTGAAGCTTAACAATTTTTACAAGCTCTGATGCAAGAATGATGCAGCACGAAAGATAAAATCATCTGTAAAATAAATGATATATTTCAGTCTCTCAGCGACGAGGACTCGTTCAAGAAAATTTCAACACAAGAGGAAGTTGTGAAAAAAACTGAGGAACTACTCACCAGCCTGACTGAGAGGTAAAAACTATATTTTACAATATCAGAGTAAAGTAAAACACAATAGACTTTTGATCTGTAGGATGCACAAAGACGGCAGGCAGCCACACACATTCAGACTGACGATTCGCCGATACACGGTCACTAATCGCTGGTTCAGTCGAGAGAGCCGACAGTGTCCGATACCCAAACACACCGGGCTCAAGATCACATGCGGTACAGTTCTGCTCTTTTGCATGCTTTAACTGCATAATGCCTTTACTGTATGTACACAAATTATTGAGAGATGATTGTGCTGTGCTGTTATTCATATTCACTTTTCTTTATCTTAGGAAACAGTGAGGCTGTGCCCCAGTTACTGTCATTGTCAGTGAAGCTCTTTCATAAAATGGTGGACACACGCGAACCGTTCCATCTGACCCTGCTGAATGTGTGTTTTAGTAACCTGCAGGCTAAAAGCTCCAGCAAGAGCTCCATCGCCTCTTTCTTCACACAGAAATCTCCTACAACAACACAAATGACATCACAACGGCAGGTCAGTACATTTTAGAGTTATTAGTTCTGATAAAACACAATAAATATCTGCATTTTTAACTATAAAATACAACAAAGCCTTTCTTCATTTCTCAACCAAACTTATGCTAAGGCTGAACTTTTAGAGATCTTAATAACTTTGATAAAAGCTTATTAGGGACTAATTTTTAATAATTCTGTTCACCTTTTATTTTATAAATATATTTATATAAAATATAAGATTACGTATAAGATTGTTTTAATGTTTTTTTTTTTTTTTTTTTATGCTCACCAAGGCTGCATTTATTTGATTAAAAAATACTGTAAAAAACATAATATTGTGAAATAATATAACAATTTCAAATAACTGTTGTCTATTTTAATATATTAAAATATTATTTATTTCTGTGGTGCAAACCTGAATTTTCAGCAGCCATTACTCCAGTCTTCAGAGTCACATGATCCTTCAGAAAACATTCTAATATTCTGATTTGGTGCTTATTATTATCAGTATTAAAAAGTTATTGTACTTCTAAATCATTTTATTTTTTTGTGAAAGAACAGCATTTATGTTGAAATTAAATAGTTTTCTAACATTTTAAATCTGTACTGTCACTTAAGATTAATTTAATAGCTTACCTCAAACTTATGAACAGTAGTGTATTCATATATTTTAAAAAAAGCACACACACACACGTCACACACACACACACACATATATAGGTCTTGCTAACTGACAATTATGTATTAAACTTTTAACAATAACTTGGAAACAGCAAAAGTTAACAGAATCTGTCTTTTGAATTCTCACTAGGTGGAACCTTATCTCTGTGAGTCTGTAGCAAATTCCCAGTTTACTCAGGCAGATGTTTTACATAAAGAAGATAAAACATGGAACAGCATTAAACCAATAGAACACACGTTGATATCTCCAGCCCAAGTATCACAAACACAGCCAACTTCAATCAACCCCATATGTCCAATGCAGCCTGTTTTTGAGCACTCACGAGTTACAAACATGAACATTAGAGAGTCTTGTATGAGCGACGTTCCAGAGGAGACATTGTGTTCCAAGCTGCCTCCAGGTGTCGATCCGGAAGTATTCAAACTGCTTCCTGGGCACATTCAGATGGAGCTGATTACCGGTTTTCAAAATAAAGACTATGCAGAGCTCATTTACGGATCTGCTGACACATCTTTTGAAGACGACCCAGCGGATCATTCCACGTTGACTTTTAACCAACCAAGAACACCTGAACGCTGTGAGTCAGCACTGAATTATCACAGAAATTCTGCTTCTCATAACCATGAACTCGACAAGACCTTGTCATCTGCTCAGTCCACAATGGAATTACATTCTGGGCTCATCAAAGACACGGAAAGTCATGATATCCCACCCACCACTCAGGCTCCTCAATCAGATATCCCTGCAAATGTGGACCCTTATGTATTCTCACAACTTCCTGCTGATGTGCAAAGGGAGTTACTGACAGAGTGGAAACAGCAGAAACCGGTCCTCAAAATCCCGTCCAAACACTCGCATAAAACCTCCGATACCAAAGACAAGAAGAACGCTGCTAAAGGCAGCCAGTGTAACAACATACTGAAATACTTTAAACCCAACTGAGGACAGAAACACTTAAGTGTCTGTTTATAAAATCAGTTTATTTTTATTTTTATAAGTGTTAAAAATAACTATGTAAACCATATCTTTGTATTCAGTAGTACAGGAATATGTCAATTCTGTCATGATTTACTCGTCCTCATGTCAAACCTGTATGACTCACTCCCAGGGGATGCTGGGAAACAAGGTCCAAACAAGGTTTGGAACAATTAGGCTGAGTAAATCATGACATAATTTTTTATTTTTCTGTGAAATATTATTTTAAGGATGTCAGATATGTTTTATTTTGTTAATAAACCACTTGTCTTTAAATAACCATTTTGATAAAGTCATATACGCTGAACACTTTGTTTACATATAAAATAAACAGTAAAATATTGTACTGTTCAAAAGTTTGGGGTTGGTAATGTAGGTAAATACGTTTTTTAAAGAAGTATGCTCACAAAGGCTGCATTGATTTGAACACAAATACAGTAAAAACAATAATATTAAGTATTATTTAAATGATAATTTAAAGTACAAATTAAAATAGGTTTTTTTTATGGCCTGGTTTCACAGAAAGGGCTTATTTTAAGTTAAATCAGGACATTTAAGTAGCCTTTATAAACATGCCTTAGAAAAACACTGGTGTGCATCTTGAGACTGCTTTCAGTTAAAACAGCTCAAACATGCATTTTAGTCTGGGACTAGGCTTAAGCTTTGACTGTAAAACCAAAAATTGGGTGGTTAAATTGGGACCCTTGAAAAATGAAAACGTTTTTTAGAACCATCTTATGTTACTTATCCAATGTTTATTATTTTGAAAAACCGTATCCTTTTTAGCATTCATGGTTTTTATGAAGCTTTTAATTTTATTTCTTATCTTTTATTCTGGGTAGAAGCCTTACCAAAAAACAACAACAACAACAACATTGGTTTAAATTTTACACCATCATTGCAAAAAAAAAATATATATATAATTCCGGCGCTGCTTCCGGTTGCGTTGCAGTTCTTCACCGTCTATGTTCTTCACTATTCTTGCGCTACATCTTCTTCCGGGACACCACACCACTATATTCAATCTATTATAAGCTCTATCCGACCGCTGCATTTTCCAACATTTTCTCCATTGCACCTCACCGGTTGTCAGGTCGTCTTTGAGAATGAAAGGAGCGAAATTAGCTTTGGTTTTGGGCATGTTTTTGGCCCTCGTCCTGCTGACCGAGACGGCGCGAAGCAGGAAAGACTCTAGTAACCAGAACAGCTTCAGGAGGGCGGCCAGCGGCTTCTACCAAACCCTCAGCAATATCTTCGGAGAGGAGAACATTAGGGCGCTGTACAAGGTACATACAAGATCACGCGATATTGTCATGCTAGTGCATAGTTTTTTTTTTTTTTTTTTTTTTTTTTTTTTGCAGGTGCATTAGATCATTAGAGCATACCGAGATCACCAGCTGTCAGTGGCCGTGTCTCAAAACCTAGTGACCTGCCTACCTAGAGCGAGGGCATTCTGTTAAGTGCATCGTTCTGTTTATAGGTCACTGTTGTAACGCTTCATAATAATAATAACTGAATTCATAATGGATTTTCCAATGTTATATAGTTACCTAATAATAATTATAATTTATTAATTGTCTTTTAAATTTTTTAAGTTAAATGTCTGTTATTAAATTTCCTATTTTAATTATATATTTACATATATTATTATATATAAAATATATGAACGTATATGCAGTTTTAATGGACATTGGACACATGGACACAACTATTTACTTGCGATTTTGCACATTTCACCCCTTATTCCATTTAATAATATGGAAAAAAAGTCATTCGTATTACTGTAAAGCAAATGAATAAATATGTAATATAAAAAATTAATTAATATAAAAAATATGTGAAGTAATTATACATCATGGTAGTATTTGTTGTACTGCATTTAATTTGAGTTATTAACGTTTTATTATAGTAATTTTTTAATGTAATAGAGTATAGATAACTTTAAATGAATCACAACTGATAATAATAAATAATTACAAAAAAACTAAAATGTCACACATTATGATAATGAGACAGAAGGTGGGATATGCATATTTACTCAAAATATTGTCATAGTGCAAGAAATCTTAATGCGTGATATAAATCTAATCTAAAATAAAATGATTTTAATCTAAAATAAATCTAATTTAGATTAAATTTAGATAGTTAGATTTTTTATTTTTTTAAATCGAGTGATTTTCTTCTGTGACCTGTACTTGTGTTAATGATATTAAATGAATATCATAATTAATAGATCATTGCATCTTTTGCATTCTTTCTTTATTTAAAAAAAAAAAAAAACTCTCTTTTTTGCAGTTCTTCTCAAAAACTACAGAGAGGTTTGTTCATGGAGTCGACTCATTTTTGGACACTTTGTGGAAGCTCTGGGTGGATCTGCTCGATGTTATGGGCATTGACTGTAAGTCTGGATCACACTTATGTCATATTATGAATATGTCTGCAATGTCATATTGTCACTGTTTGTGTATAATGCAAAAATCATGTCCTTAATTTATCTCTCTTTGCTTCTATTTCCATCTGTCCGTTTTCTTCTCTCTCCTCAGCCTCTAACCTGACGCACTACTTCAGCCCATCGTCCGTGTCCAGTTCTCCTGCTCGCGCGCTCCTCCTGGTGGCAGCCTTGCTGGTGGCTTACTGGTTCCTGTCCTTGTTCCTGAGTGGCTTCTTTTACATCCTTCACGCGGTGTTCGGCCGTTTCTTCTGGCTGGCCCGCGTAGCACTTTTCGCCCTCTCGTGCCTGTACATTCTGCAGAAATTTGAGGGCGACCCAGAGAAGGCGGTGCTGCCGCTGTGCTTCATCATGGCTGTGTACTTCATGACGGGACCGGTGGGTGCTTACTGGCGGAAAGGGGGCGGATCTGGAACTCTGGAGGAGAAGATCGACCAGCTCGATACCCAGATCCGCCTCCTCAACATCCGCTTGAGCAGAGTGATTGAAAACCTGGAGCGCTCCAGTGACCAATGAAGTTTTTTCGCCCCAGGCTAACGGTTAAAGCTGGGGTTTGTGAGATGGTATGAGAAGAAAAAAGTTTTTTTTTTTTCGTCCCCTTTTTCTCAGGATGTCCCAACGTAGTAAGGCAAGAATTGTATGGAAAATTGATCAATTCTCCAGTTGATAAAGCGAAATTAGTCCATTACGTTCGCCCTGTTGTCGTAGAGTTTATTATTAGTGTCCATTTCTACTGTAGCCGCCCATTTTTTTGAGTAAATATCAGGACTTTTTTTTGTATGCTGTGGGTCTGTGTGTGTGTTCAAGCCTTGAGTTGAGTGTGTCATTCCATTGCGCAGTGTTACGCCTTTTTCATAAGCTTTGTTTGGGCACTTTCTGTAAGTGTGTGTGTGTGTGTTATTTATAAATCATGAAGGCAATGCAATTGAGAGTTGATTTAGAAACACTCAAAGTGTGAAGAATAGTCAGTATCACTGCATTTTTTTCATCTCTCCTTTGTCTCTTCTTGAGGTCACCACTCTGAGTTCAGGACCGATCGGCACTATCAGGGATCGAGATGTATGTGGAAATCGCTTTCAGAAAGCAGCTAGTCATCAGATTCATGAGGATATCTGACCAGTGTTCCTGGCAGCAAAATAACGGTGCTGCAATCTACACCAGTATCTCTGTCCAACTTCAGCTAAGGGAGAGAGAGATGTTCTCATGTGCTTAAGATAAGTACGTACAGGGAGAAACCTGGTCATGCACTTTGTTCTCAGCATGAGATCATTTTATCACTTGTATGTACCATTTTAATATACTTCTAGAAAGGGATTGATTGAATAGTGTGTTAATCCCACTACATATTAGTGCTGCTTAGTAAATCATTTTTAAGAAAGTGGCCTCTATGGTTTCATCCACAGTGGCATTGAAAATGAAATGCCTGGCAACTAATTGAACCCGGGTTCTCGCCTCTCATTCACGCTCTTTCCTTCCCGCTCTTGCAGTAAACCTTTGTAGCTAAAACTAATTTGCATGTTTTTTGAAATATAATTTGAACATTTAATCACTGTTTCATAGATAAAAATTACGGTACTTGTACTTTTTTTTTATATATACGTTTTTACATTTAAAGAGAAATTGTATTAAGTGTTTAAGTATATTTTCGTTCCATAATATGCCATTAATTGATTTATTTATTTATTTTTAATACACGATTAGCACTGCTATATTTGAAGTAAATGCACTCCGGTTCAAAAGTTTGGAGGGTTTGTAAGAAATGGATACTTTTATTCAGCACTCAATTGAATAAAATCGTTCTTTTGAACTTTCTGTTCATCAGAAAATGCAAAAAAAAAAAATGTTAAGCAGCACAACTGTTTTCAACATTAATAATAATATAAAATATTTCCTGAGCACCAAATCAGCATATTAGACTGATTTCTGAAGGATCATGTGACACTGAAGACTGGAGAAAAGTTAGCTTTGCCATCACAGGAATAAATTACATTTTAAAATGTTAAAATAGAAAACTGTTTATTTTAATGAAATAGTTCACAAAATGATTGTTTTTACTTGTTTTTTGGTCAAATAAATCTTAACGACCCCAAACTTTTGAACAGTACTGTAGTGTGTTTTTAAAAGCTGGGAACATTTTATGTTCTTGTTTTGCATCATTGTAAAAGTGTTTATTTTCAAAACAATGTTATCATTATTTTCTTTTCTTTTTTTTTTTTTTAATTTCTGATACCAAATGATCATTTTTATATTATTATATTTGTCTCCAGTCTGTTATTTTAACGTCGTCATGAATTCAAAGTGAGAGTTTTGTGGCTTTTAGTCCCTGCCATCTCAACTCTTTTTAAACATTGACAAAATTCACCTTTAACAGAAACAGAAAGTCTTTCTCTTCAAGGAAAATAGGCCAAAAATATTGATGACTCGTCCTGCACTTCACTGATTTTAGACCTGCCAATGACTACTGTAGTGAAACTCAAGCCTACTGCAAATCAGTGCGTGCACGTGCACCATCATCAGGCCCTTTTTTACTGTATGAATATGTGAAGGATGTTACCAGGTTTATAAATCATACAAAATAAGCACCAGCTTTTAAGGAATCTGCAAATAGCAAACATGCGTGCAATTGCAATGTACCAGCATTATTGTAAAAGTACTATGGACAATAAGAATAATTACACATTATACATGTTTCAGCAAACACTCCTATATTTTTAAATAGTCATGTGTACCTTGCATATCTGTGAATGAGAAGCCACAGTAATATACCATGGAAAATAAGTTGTATTGATTTTAAGGTGAAATTTGATAGATATTTTCCTTCCCAAACTGTTTAATAATTCAGTTGAAAGTTCCAGCACCATTTCATGTCCTAAATTTATTTGTGGAATATTATGTTTTTTTTTGGTTACATCAAACATAAGGGAGATGTACTGACTCAATAACTGCAAAGACCCAGTTCTCTCTCACATTGTCCGTCTCTCCAGTTGAATGCGCCAGTGCCAATTATTGTGTGTTGAGGATTTTGCATCATTGACTGATTTGTATTAGAAAGCACTGAATCTTTGTGAAGTCTAGACATTGACTGGTATATTTGGATAGTATGCCTAGATTTCTATATCAGGTTTGCTTTTGTACTGTATAATTTTTATCAGGGTTGTTCACCTGCTGCGATGTTGCTTGCTGTGGTATTGTTTGCGCTGTATGTGTCATATTTTTGTGTTTATGAAACTTAAATGATTTTCTCTGAGATTAAACGGTGGTCCAAAAATGATTTAATAAATGTAATATACAATTTGACCAACAAGTCTTGGGAACTCTTTTTCTAAATATGTATATATATATAAAGATTTTACAATTTTGGGGGCTCAACCTGACTGACAGTAATAGTGTCATTTATATTATATGTGCTCACACTGCAGTTTGAGCTTTTTTAACATTTATGAAAAAGTTGCTTCACCTAATTTGGATTTAGGAGATTATGTGTGACACAACAGACACTTGTTTGAACATTGCTTAATTTGTCTGTTCAAATGGCCTCATATGAACTCTCTAAAGCTCTATTAAGTGGAGAGGGTTAAATCATGTCTGGTCTGACACAGCCAACCCAATGGATGGGTTTAAGCAGGCATCCTAAAGGTGCATGTGCAGTTCGGATGTGAAGGAGTTCTGTTTGCTTTGCAAAAACGGTTTATGAGACAATCAGTGGTGCTGAAGTCCGTCCACTAGATCAAATGAAAAAAACATTATGTAATGCTGGCATTGCAACTCATTGATAACCCAGAGGTGAAAGCTTGTAATGTTAGCTGTACTTGGCATTTGATTTTGCCATCCTCGTACAATTTAACATACTGTACATTAAAAATGTCACTCAGGTGAAGGTTTCTAAAAAAAAAAAAAAAATCAGTCCTATCTTTTTTCAGTTTACATTGTTTACGACACTTTTATTTCGCCAGATGCATCTCTTGTATTCCTGTGAGAGCTGATCCGCGTATGCAACGTAACGATCAAAAGGAGCACTGTGCCTTTAAGATACCCATATTTGGCTTGTATATAATGTTGAGCATTGTTGCTTTTTTATTGGTTGTGCCCAGGGGGTGCAGACATGACCCCGTTCCCACTGCCTTTATGAAAGCACATTTTTTACGCTATATGGACTCCACTTCAGTCTTACTAAGACAGACAGACAGATACAAGGAACAAAAACAAGTTCAATGAAATTAAGCACATTCCATGATTTCTTTAAGTTTCATCACAAACAAACAAGTTTACATGGTAAATATGTGGAGGAGCAACTCCTATTTCCCAAATGTTATACAAATATTGAAATTGGCCTTGACAATCACTGACTCTGCAAATGTATTCAGCAGCTCTTTATATACTATATACCTTCCTTTGGTGCTAAAATGTTTAAAATAAATAAGACTGCATGAAATTCAAAACAAAATGTATGGAAAATATAATACAGACATTGCTTTCACATTTTTTCCTTCCCCATCAGATCATGTTGCAGGCAGGCTGCAGGCTCTGGATTGGGCACACCTCTATATGATCCCTTCTTCTATTGGCTGGGCGCTTCAGTGGGCCGAATTGGCGGAACGGCTGTGTGACTTCTGATTGGTTCGCTTCTCCGTCTGTCCATGTTGCTTTCTCTCGTTCTGCGGTCTCGGCTGATGTGAGGCCAGCTTTACGAGCCAATGGAATAAAAGAAATGCTAATTGCGAAGCAGTCCGATATTCCTCCGCCAAAACCTAACAGCTTTATCCAAGACCCTTTAGATGTCAGTGGTCAAGTGCAAGTATTTTATATTCTACTTTAACCAGATATATTGAAACACGTTAGAGTGCAAGTATTTTATATTCTACTTTAACCAGATATATTGAAACACGTTAGAGGCAGAATTCTAAAATTTAAACTATATATTTAATGCTATATGTATTGTTATATATAGTTTAATCACGGTAAAGTCTGAAGTTTAAATAACTGACTGAAGACTTATGTTTGTGCTCCATTGTTTTTTATGACCCTTATCAAGTTGACAGCACATCATCGCCTTATTAAAGTTCAATCAAGTTTTTTTCGGAGTGGACTCTTTTCAATCAAACAGATGAATCGGTTCACAAACACCGCTATAAACGATTCTTTCGCAAAAGGGGGCTGAATGAATCTGTCCGAACTGTTCTCGAGTCACTGACTCATATTGAACCGATTTTGAATTTTGTTTTTTAACTTTTGATCAAAGGATCTTATTATAAATTTAAATTTACGTTTTTATTTATATTCACATTGCGTTTAAATTACATTATGTTTTAAATGAGCGAGATCATGACTGCGACAAAGTGAACTGGGACAAATTAAATGACAACACTCTTATTGCCCTTTGATGCTACTATGCTACTATATTAATTTAATTTAAAGCGCTATGTAGACATTATGCTCATAATGGTTTATTTAAACGTTTAACATCATATATCACAACGGGATGTCAGGGACGAAGACATGACGTTATTATGTATGTCATGACGTCGAATAATAAACAGGTTCTCAGAAATTAACTGTTCCAAAGAACCGATTAGCAGAAATCAGTCGGACTTCCTTCTCATCACTATCTGATATATGAAACAGATACCCCTTACAAATGCAAATGCTCGTTTTAATAAAATATGCAATCTTAATTAAATATTTATTAATAAATAAACACGCAATTGTTCCTGAATCATATATTTGTCAATTTGTGTAAAAACCTAAGTACTAGTACTACACGAGCAGCGGAAGAACATGTGGAGATTGGCAGGGTGGTATGCGGTTGCGCGGTAGGCGGGGCTTCCGCTGCTGCTAGTTCATTATGTGCGGCTGACGCTCGGAAATGACCCATGTGTCTGACCTGCACCAATACACGATCACCGGATCGCCTCGTCCAACTCCCGTAGTGCATTTCTTTCAGTCTTTATAGGTTATTCACGACATACCGGCGCGTGTCATCCGATCATGTCTAAAGACACGGAGGCCAACAGCGAGGAGATTATGGAGTCAAAGGTGCTCTGGTACCCGGACTCTAAACGGAACACACAGATGGACCGATTCCGGACTCTAGTGAACCGGGACTTCGGGTTGAATCTGGGTGAGTAGAGCCAGGCTGGGCTAGAATGAAGGCAGACTAGTATTTTCGGCAAACAACACACCCTTATTCTACCTTAAACAAAGCATAGTACTAGTTAATCTCATTAATAGCTCATCCTGGGATTGTCATAGTTTATATATATCATGGCCACATTTATGCAAAAACAGGTAGTTTAACCATGCTTTCAAATGCAATTTTTGGCCCTCTAAATGTTCTCCAGGATCCATTTTGTGTATTTAACTATTTCAATTGCCTAACAAGGGATGTCTGGCCACATATTACTGGTCTTTCATGCATGCCATACTGATGCGTCTCAATGCATTGAATGCATAGACCTTAAGAGTTGTAAAACCAGTATTTCAGATCAGACATAGCTCTTACTGGCTGTCACACCATAGTTTTCATAGTATCATCATGTGCATGCATCTCAGCACGTATGACATAATTTTTTCATCTATGACAAACTGCTTTAACATTTATTCTTTAAAACGAACTGTAACTATTTGTATGTTACTAGTACTCATATTATACTATAGTATATTTTTTAGTTACTATTCATAAGATACAGTTCATATTCAGATTTTTCTGACATACTAGTACTTACTAATTTGCTACTATGGGATGGACATCTGTGGTTTAACTTCGATAGCAACAATACACTTCGATTAGTATGTATTTATAGGCCAATGAAAAATCTTCCCACTAGTACCTCACTGATATAGTAGGTTCCGTACTTGTGTCTTCAACTGATACCAGTTAAACTGGTATTGATACTAGCAAATATTTAAAAAATGTAATCCATTTAAGAATTATCAATGTAAAAACCCACAACGGCTGACTACTAATCTGAATATTGCATGGACATAGGCTATCCCTTTCAGTCTATATCTATTTAAAGGGAACATGCGATATTCAGAATAGTCCCAAATTTCTTTTTATTAAATTATTATATTTTGACCCCTATTTTTTACTTATTTGTTCAAATAATGCTGGAATAAAATTGATAGAAGTAAATAGTCAAAAATAACAAAACAAAACAAAACAAAAAGTAAGGGGCCAAATGTAATGATTTAGGAATTTCTGAATTGACCACAAATCTGAATATTGCATGGAACAAGTCCTGATTTCTATCATCTCTAAACTAATAATAATTCATAATTATTAAATAATGGCATGTATTATGTCTAATGGTACCTTCAATAAAATGTCTCTTTTATCTTGAAGCTAACTATAATGACCTGTATCAGTGGTCCGTGGACAGTTATCCGGAGTTCTGGGCGCAGGTTTGGACATTCTGTGGCATCGCCTGCTCCAAGATGTATGAGGAGGTTGGTTTATTTTTTCAACCTTCTTTATATATACAGTATTAATCAGCTTTTTCAGATTTAAATATACAGGTATTTAAAAGGGTTTTTTGTTTGTCATTTCTTGTTGTGTAACGAGTGTTATTTAGGTTGACAAATATTGTGAACCTTAACTAAGAAATTATTTATTATCTTATTTATGTGGAGGTATACGTGGCGTGCAATATATGACATAGATGATGGACAAATTCATTAGTCACATATGAATCATATAGATTAATCCTAACTAGTAAACATTTATGAATTTATTACCATTTAGTACTACTGTCTGAACTACTGCTGAGAATATTTAAAGCATATGATCACTTAAAGCTTAAACCATATCTCTGGCTGAGAAGGTGTGTTAGGGCTTTTCCGTCTAAGAGAGCTGTAATTTTAGTGTCATTAGATAAAACATAAAAAATAACACAGTCTATATAAGGGTTTCTATCTACAACCTTCTCAACCATCTTATTTTTACTGCATGCTCTCTGTTGATTATTTGCTGACTCAAAGTTTGTTTTATTATTCGATCACATGACAACATGGATTGCGGCAGGTTTGTGTAGTAAAAGGAATAGTTCACTCAAAAAATTATCCCATAATTTACTTGCCTTCAAGCCATCCTATGTGTATATCATTTTTTTTCTTTCAGCCGAACACAATCGGAGTTATATTAAATAATATCCTGGCTCTTCCCAGCTTTGTAATGACACTGAATAGTGAGTTTTTGAAGCTCCAAAAAGCACATCCATCATAAAAGTAATCCATACGGCTCCAGTAGGTTAATAAATGCCTTCTGAAGGAAAGCAATATGTTTTTGCAAGACAAATATCCATATTAAAACTTTATAAACTATAATCACTGGTTTACAGCAACGGCCGTACGTTGTATTATGAATAAATTGTGGGATAATTTTTGGTGGGAAGGGTGTGTGCCTACATCACGATACTAGGGTGGTAGCCAAGATGTTGCCACAAGTTTGCTAAGTTAGTTAACCTGTAGTCTTCTCTCAAACCAGTGCTATTAAAACCACTTATTAAAACCATTTTTTGTTCATTGAAATAAAGCTGAAATAAAATCAAATATAAATAAGTAAAAATAAACAGGCTGTTGTGATTGGTCTACCGCTTAGCGTGTGTCCTAAACGAAACGCTTATTACCATATCTGAATTTCAGCTCCGGAGGCTTCCTCAGCACTTGACACACACACAGCGATACGAACAGTTACGATGCTGTCGTTTTTTTCCCCCGTATAAATGCCAGCGCAAGTCCTCATCAAAAGATTTTCAGCGCTGAAAACAGCGTCTTCTCAACATGTCAACAACACAAACCAAATTCTCAAATCCTCTTCCAGGCCTCACCTATAACTACAGTGTTTAAGGGCGGTTCAGAAGACCATAGACTGGCATTATGCAAATTTGTTACATTGTTACATAGGTATGTTCAGGAAGTGAGGCTGGAATTGCTAATGACTCATTTCGGCGGTTCAGAATCAATTCTTTCTTTTAGGAGACACTTTATTTGTTGTGCACTTTGATCTTTAAAACTTTTCCGACATTTTACTTTCACAAACAGCTATATTACACACTGCATGAAAGGTAATTTGAAAACGCATATTAGGGGGAACTTTAATAAGTATATAAAAACACTAAAATATTACCGTCTCAAAATGACGAATAGTTGCTTGCAATAAGAAAAATGTGCTCTATTAAACAGGATGACGTGTGACTCTGCTCACTCTCTGTTTCAGGTGGTTGATGTTTCTAAAAGGATATCAGATGCACCTGAGTGGTTTAAAGGCAGCAGACTGAATTATGCAGAGAACCTTCTCAAACACAAAGACCAGGACAAAGTGGCTCTCTATGCTGCAAGTATGAAAACTCATTTCTGAACTAGTTTATTACAATTTACATGAATTACATAATCAACATTCTGTGGCCAAACTGTTTTTTGTTGGTTTTTTTACACAAACTGTATAATTGACTATGTCCCTGGTAAGCACATTTTCTGCACTTTGCTAGTTTCATGTCTCCCGTATCACACTTTGTCTTCTCGTATCTCAAATGAATATTGCATATCCAGTTATAAACTTAAACTACTGTTTAATGTTCAAAAGTTGGGGTCAGTAATATTTTTTTAATGAATGCTTTTTTCCCCAGCAAGGATACAGTAAAACATAAGTGACCGCAAAGACATTTATAATGTTACAAAATATTTCATGGGGGTCCTTAAAGAGTCTTTAAAAGTCTTTTCAGGTTTTTAGTGATCAAATTTAAGGCCATAAAAAGTCTTAAATATTTTACTTGGGATAAGAAGTCTTAATTATCATTTCAAGAGGTCTTAAATTTTGTTTAACAGTTCACAATCAATGAATACTGCTGATTTATGCCAAGCGAATGGTGATTGCTAATGATGTACTGTTGATGAACTATGAGTTTGTTGTTTATATCATCTGCAAACTTGCCACTTTTTGGAGAAATTGACCGTTATAAATAACCACAACTGCTTTGTATACAGGGGTTACCAGAGTAATGGTTATATTTCTGTTGTTCCATAAGTGATCAGAGGTTTGGTCAAAACCTGTTTTTAAACTGTAAATTTGTTCTTAGGTCTTAAAAAGGTCTTAAAAATCCTTAAATTAGATTTTTAAAACCCTGCAAGATGCCCTATTCTATTTTAAATAAATGCTGTTCTTTTGAACTTTCTAATTATCAAAGGATCCTGAAAAAACATTGATAATAATAAGAAATGTTACTTGAGCACCAAATCAGCATATTAGACTGATTTCTGAAGGATCATGTGACACTAAAGACTGGAGTAATGATGCTGAAAATTCAGCTTTGCATTACAGGAATAAATTGCATTTTAAATGTATTAAAATAGATGACAGTTGTTTTAATATTTCACAACATTACTCTATTTTTACTGTATTTTGATCAATTAAATGCAGCCATTGCTGAGCAAAAGAGACTTCTTTAAAAAAAATCCTGCCAACCCCAATACATTTGAACAGCAGTGTACTGTAAGCTGTGTACACAGTAAGCTGGTGACTATTGCAAAATACACCTTTTTAGGTTGATCCTGTTCCTCTCCTTTGGTTTATTTTGTGATAATAAACTGTACACTGTCCCTTAGTTGGTGAATACAGTGAGGAAAATCTGAAGCTTCAATATGCTGAGGGTTTTATAGAGTAACTAAATATATGTATATCTACTATTTATGTTCTTTCAATAACAATTTCAGTTCTGCATTATTTGCAGCTGTGAACATTATATTCAGTAGTTTCATTGAATGACTTGGACACCTGGACATCACCACTGAAGTCATAATGACATAATCAGATTCAGTAGACCTGAATGCGGTGGCAGTAATTCAGGTGATATAAAAACTGATGACCATGACTCACTCCACGCTCTCAAACTGCACCCTCAAGCAATACTATTTGTCTAAGATCTACAACAACTTTGACCGTAAACCCTGGTTGGCAATGCAGCTTATAATCCACACAAATATCTCCCGATTCTAAACACGACTCTGTATCTCTGCTGATCTCCTTGAGCCATTGTCCGTTTGACCTTATACACAAATGGCTACTTTAAAATAGCAACAGCACTGTGTGCATGTGTTTTATCTTTATTGATAGAATCTGTCATTGCAGACCTCTGGCTAATGTAACACTAAATGAATTATGCTGTCTGTAATTTGATTTGTGGTTTTAGTGTCCATGTAGGGGCACGGGGCGTGGGGAGGGGTGCACATAGTTGTGCTTTAATATTGTGATTGATGTCCTGATGCGGTCCAGAATTGAGCGGATGTAATTACCAAAGTGGCATCTATCAGAAGTGTACCTGCGTCATTGGTTTCTCTTCGTGAAACTGGGAGGATCATTTACCTGAAAGGATTCTGATTAAATTTAACACTTTGGCTGCGTCCAAAATCGCCTACCCTTTTAAGTAGGTACTTATTTTGAATAAGTAATAACCTCATGACCGTGAAAAGAAGTATGTTATATGTAGTATGAATGAAATTCGGACGAATTACATTCGCCATGTTGTCATTATCATGTGACCTACCAGCGTCACTGGCATTCATAAATCCTCTCTTGTGGCCTCATGGGATAGTAAAGTGTCCATCGTATGCACACTGCAGAATCTGGCTGGAGGTAGTCAGTCATCCAGGTACTTTTTGCCTAATATTTTATGAGTACTGTAAATTCGAACATACTTCTCTTGTCAGATAATGTTTTTCGCCTACTATATAGTAACGTATGGAATTTCGGATCCAGACATTATTTCAATTGATTTACTGATTACAGACAGTAATGGAAAACAATACCCGATAATTGACTGTGAAATATCAGTTGCACCACAGTCACAGATGGCAAAGAATTCTCTTGTTGCTCTCATTAAAGTTAGTGTGTTGATATTTACTGTTAATGCAAGCCTAAGGTTGTTTTATTAATTGTTGTTGAAAGAAAATAGTACTTTTATTCATCAAGGATGTATTCAACTGATCAACAGTGTCAGTAACACTTAATGTTACAAAAGATTTCTATTTCAAATAAAAGCTATTCATCATAGAATCTAGAAAAAGATGTATCATGTTTTTTTAACAAAAATGATAAGCAGCACAATGGTTTGCAACATTGATAATAATAAAGCATCTAATCGGCTTATTAGAATGATTTTTGAAGGATCATGTGACACTGAAAGGGAATGTCTGCTGAAATTCAGCTTTGTCATCACAGGAATAAATGAAATTATAAAATGTATTAAAATAGAAAACGATTATTTTAAATTGTAATAATACTTCACAATATTACTGTATTTTTTATTTAAATAAATGCAGCCTTTGTGAGCAAAAGGGACCTTCAAAAACATTTTAAAAATCTTACTGACCCTACAATTTTAAATGATAGTGTTTATAATTATTATTATTATTAACTTTTTTTGTTTTGTTTTTGCTGTCATGTCTTTTTGGCATGATTGAGATTTGTTTCTTAAAGTGATTTTTGTGTGTATGTAGCTGAGGCGAATGAGGAGATCGTCAAGGTGACTTTCGGAGAGCTGAGGCGTGATGTCGCCCTCTTCGCTGCCGCCATGAGGAAGATGGGCATCAAAACTGGAGACAGGGTCGTAGGTGAGTGTCACCTCCTTTTCTCTTTCAATGTGTCTCTGTATTTGTGTTGTGCTTTCTCAGTCACCCACTTGACACCCAGATGACAGTAGTGGGATGAGGAAATACAAGCCAATACTTGGCCAAATACAAGAAAATCTAACACACTGTTTTATATTGGATCAGGCTTGGGCGCTCTAACCTGTTTTTCCTGCCCTCTTTCTTTGCTTATTCTTTCTGTCCTCGTTTGTCTTTATAAGTGTTCCAACTTTGGGAGCCAGACAGTCGCTCCTAAAATCACAAACTCCCCTTTTTTGTCTCAGATTTGGGGTTCAGCCAGGCCCATTCATGGCTATTGATTGGAGAATAAGTGTAGTGCAGTTATACCATGGCAGTGGTAATTAGTCTTTTCAGATTTAAAACTTAAGTGCATTCAGACATTTCCAAGCTGAAGCTAGAGGTTGGTTAGAAGCTCAGATGCCCGATTCGTCTCCGCCCTCTACTGTGACCGCGTGTGTGAGTAATGGTGTCTTTATGTGGGTGATGTGAGAGGGGGAAAAAGAGACTGTGTAATCGCTGATGTCATTCTGGGTTCATTATCTGCAGTGCTGATCATCTCTGACTTGTATTGGCTGTAAATGGGAGGAGGCCATTTCAGTGATTATATACACCCATAGATTTATTCATACAAGTCCCTATAGAGTAATAGAGGGGAATGAGCAAGATGGTACAGAATTTTTTACAGTTTTACTCCTTAGAGACATTTAAGGTTGTTTTATGAGTCACATGAAGATACATTTTGCTGTTCTTTGGAGATTATTGAAAAATCCACAGAAGGCTAAATTTGCTAAAATAATCTATTGAGGACATTCTGAAAAGTAAAAGTATTAACTAGACATTAAAAAGTGTATAAATGACTAGTTTTTCCAAAGTAACGCTGTCCAACACAGTGACACCCTTAGGTAAAGTTACAGTGGGACACCGCGATTCTCTCTTGCCTCCCCTGAGCCCATTGACTTTTAACAGACCCCCTAAAGTGTGTGCTGGGTTTAATGAGGGTTAATTGACAATGAATGTGAGATGAGGCAATGCCTCCGTGATATGATTGGAAATTATTGGTTTGTGCAATAAATCCCACCTTTTGCTTTCGTGCGCGTGCGCAAATCGGTCTGAATGAACAAAATTGTGGCGTTAATGGGAAGACTTATTAAAAAGTAAAGAAACGATGCAGACACGTGGATATCACTGCTTTGTCACGTAAAATATCTAACTTGAAATGGCCTGAAAACATGACTGTGGGGGTTTTCAGTGAGCAATCATTTAATTATTTTCTGATTCCTAGAACCCGCTTGAAAAAGAGGGGAAATAGAGCTTTTGAAGTGGCGGGCCCCACTCTATGGAATAAGCTCCCAATTCAACTTAAAATGGCTCCCACTCTATCTGAGTTTAAAACAGCGCTAAAAACTCATTTATTTGGATTAGCTTTTAATATGTAATCTACTTGATCGATCTTATTTTATTTTAATGCACCACATTTGACTGACGGTTGTAATGTTGTTGATGCAATGTGTATTGTATTGTGATTATGTACAGCACTTTGGTCGGCCGAAAGCCGAAAGTAAATGTGCTCTAGAAATAAACGAACTTAGATCAGCTTGGTGAAATTAAAAGTACATCTTTGTGCCTGTGACCAGTGTTTACCACGGTTGATGACTGATTATCTAAAAAAATCAGTTGACTATTAAAAAGAACAACGGATATATCTACACTGAACAAAATTATAAACACAACCCCCATTTTTCATGAGCTGAACTCAAAGATCTAAGACTAAGCACACCTGTGAAATGGATGGATTATCTTGGGAAAGGAGAAGTGCTCACTAACACAGATTTAGACAGATTTGTGAACAATATTTGAGAGAAATAGGCCTTTTGTGTACATAGAAAAAGTCTTAGATCTTTGAGTTCAACTCATGAAAAATGGGGGCAAAAACAAAAGTGAACGCCCACCACACACTAGCTTATTGGTGGAGAGGAGACAGTGATGAAGCCAATTAGTATATGGGGATGATTAGGAGGCCATGATGGACAGAGGCCAAGGGGCAAATTTGGCCAGGATGTCTTTCGAAAGAGTAGGGGTGTAACCCCGGCATCCTGGCCAAAATTTTATTTTTTGTGACCACAGAGAGTCAGGACCTTGGTTTAACGTCTCATCCGAAGGACAATGCTCTTTGACAGTATAGTGTCCCCGTCACTACACTGGGGCGTTAGGACCCACACAGACCACAGGGTGAGCACTCCCTGCTGGCCTCACTAACACCTCTTCCAGCAGCTACCTGGTTGTCCCAGAAGGTCTCCCATCCAGGTACTAACCAGGCTCAACCACGCTTAGCTTCAGTGGGCAACCAGTCTTGGGCTACAGGGTCATATGGCTGCTGGCGACATGGGTTGGACAGGGTTGGACAGTGAAATTGAAACACTGGCCAATATTGTGTTGGAGGCCTTGAAGCCTGGTGGCCAATCTTCACTGATTTTACATTCAATCAGTAAGAGCAGAGTGTGAAGGTTGAATCAGCAGAGCAATAGCACTGCTGTACATAAAGCTATGCACAGCTGTACAGCGCGTCTCGCTGGCTCATCTGTGACCAGGACAGCAAGTCTTTGTTGTGTATCGAGAGCTATGGTATCCAGGGTAATGTTGGCATACCACCACGTAGGACAAACCACATTAAGCAGGAATAACTGTCGAAGCAAGAGGAATCTGTCTGAAAGGGATGTCCAGGTACTAACTCTAAAAATCATAAAACCACAGCTGCCTACCTCTCTACTGTTTCCACCAAAACTGTTTGTCGGGAGCTTCACAGAGTCCATATTCATGATCTGGCTGCTATAGCCGAACCTTTGGTCACTCGTGCCAATGCCAAATGTCGGTTTCAATGGTGCCAACTTGGGGTGGAACGGTACACAGAAGTCACGGTTCGGTTCATACCTCGGTTCAGACATCACGGTTCGGTACGATTTCGGTACAATGGAGGGAAATTTTGTATTAATAAAGGCATAGAACCAGTTTATTTGTAGTGGACTGACAATAGTTTTATATAATTAGTTTATTAATTAAATTAATAAAAAGACAAAAAGGCCTTGCTTTGGTAATTGTACCTGAATTAATTTAAAATTATTTTGCTATATTTCAGATCAATATATTTGTTTTCCTTAATTTTAATTAACATTATTAATTAACAATGTAACATTTTCATCTGAATTATAAATGATAAAAGATGGAACCCACAGATTGTTTTGAAATGGAGTTGGATAAATATGTTGTGCTTTTAAAACAGTGTGTGTGTGTGTGTGTGATTTTGGTTGGGTGAAAGTTGTAGTAGGTTACACTTTGACAAGAGTTTACAGTGTGACAAAAGCACAATGTTGTGTTTTATTGCGAGTGTACACACATATAAGTGAACACTTTGCAGGTTTAATGATCTGTATGAACAAAATGACGGAGTATGTTTTTTAGGTTTCCACTGTTCGATCGCGCTCGCGCCTCTCTCTCTAGCGCGCACACACACACACACACACACACACACACACACACACACACACACACACACACACACACACACACACTCCAGCATTGCAATCTTGACATCGCAGCGTGTTCATTATGCCGTCACACCAAACGCGAATAGAGCGTCAAATTCGCGTCTATCGCGTCTAGTTCGACGCTAGTCCAAAGCGAATAGGACGCGCGTATAAAGCAAAACGTTTGAAGTGAACGCGCGTTCAGAGCTAAGCCGATGGTACAGATTCCGCATTGCATTAAGTAATTTGCACGGGAGTTTTATTTATTTTTATACCGTGTATTCTCCGTGTAAATTCGTGCACCGAACCGTGACGCCCGTACCGTTTCGGTTCAATACGAATACATGTACCGTTCCACCCCTAGTGCCAACAGTGCAAATCTTGGGCTGTGGACAATGTGAAACATATAATATTCTTTGATGTGTCCTCCTTCACTCTTTCCCACATCACATCAACATCAGTGATGTTTGGGCTGCAATATCATGGCATTCCCTACTGTGCTTGTTGGGCGCAATTTCACTGCCAAAGACTACTGAACCATTCTGGAGGACCATGTGCACCCAATGGACCATGGTTCAAACATTGTACCCTGAAGTTTATGCCGTGTATCAGCATGATAAGGCACCAATACACACAGCAAGACTTCTGACAGAATCGTTTAATGAACATGAAAGTATGTTGAACATCTCCCATGGCCTGCACAGTCACCAGATCTAAATATTTATATACACACAAACACAAACTTCCCTTAACAGGACAAAGTGCATTCAGTTCAATACAGTTTGTCTATAATAATTATAATTTTTATTATTATTAGCTATATTTAAAAACAGAAGTGGTAATGACAGTTTGGGAAATGGTATGTGTGTGTGTGTGTGTGTGTGTTTACTTTACTGTTTTTATAAATACGTCTACGTGGATGCAAACATAACTGTGTGTTTATAGGTGTGTCTTTTCTGAGCAAGTGTGTGTTGTGTGAATTAAAAGCGTAGAAGTTTACAAAGGCTGAGTATACTGATCCTGTTAGAGTGTGCGGTTCTGTGTGCTCATGTGTAAAGCGTGTTTCTCTCAACTAAAATGTCCTTGTCTGTTCCTTGATTTACAGCGTGTGTGTGTGTGTGTATGAGTAGGAGTGAATATATGGCCACTTTGCTGATGAGGCCAGGCCTTATTGCCGCAGTATCATTTAGCTAATGGACACTGTTTCTATTCTGTATCTTTCTATCTTTACTCTCTCTATTTTGTTCAATACACAATATAATTTACATTTACACCAAGTATTTAATTTATAGTTAATTTAATTGTAACATTTATTTGTCTTTGCTTCAGCTTTATTTTAAATGTATAATTCAAGCTATTTTCTAATCTTTTTCAATCTTTTTTTTTTTTTTAAGTAAATCTTGATTATAACCTAGCCAAGCAACCACAACTGTTTCTGCTAAACTTAACTTCTTTCGGCTCCAAATTTGATGCTCAACTTATATTATTGCCTCCACGAGTCACTTTGGTCAAGTATATTGAAAGTGTAATGAAATATACTTCCTTTTTAGTAAAACTGCGACTGTATGTAAGCGTTACTTTTTAGGTATTAAATTTGTTGTATTTATCATTTTCCCCCTTGTGTAATATTTTCAGTTATCGTCTCTTTTGCCAGTAAAAGCACAGTATTTCTAATAAGATCATTTAATATATTGTGCCTGCTGAGTGCCCACTAAAATAACTTGCATCTCTTTCAGGTGATGCATTGCTGTTTCTAATGTAATTTTGTTATTTCTGATATATATTCTCACTCTCTTTACCTCAGGATATCTGCCCAATGGGATTCATGCTGTTGAGGCCATGCTCGCTGCAGCCAGTATAGGTGCCATCTGGAGTTCAACCTCTCCAGATTTTGGTGTCAATGTAAGAGCTTTACATGCATAGTGGTTGTATAGTATACTATACTACTACTACTACTACTACTACTACTATTACTATCGAATACTACTACTTTAATTGTATGACGTATGCAGTTAGTGTGTAGAAACAACTTTGGATCATCAGAACATTAAACATACTATACAGGCTAGATCAGGTGAGAAAGGTATTTCACTTTCACAGTGATCCAGGGAAGTTCAGAAAGTATGAAATTATAATGCTGACAGATTTCAAACACGCATGCATGGCCACTTTACTTTACTGTTCTAAAGTTTGGGTTTGGTAAGATAAAAAAAGTATCTTATGCTCACTTATGCTGCATTTATTTGATTAAAATACAGTTTAAACAGTCATATTGTGAAAAATTATTATGATTTTAAAATACTCGTTTTCTATTTTCTATTTTAATATTAATTTATTTATTCCTGTGAGGGCGAGGCTGAATTTTCAGTGTCGCGTGATCCTTCAGAAATTATTCTTATATGCTGATTTGCTGCTCAAGAAACATTTATTATTAGTATCAATGTTGAAAGAAACTAATTGTGCTTCTTAATATTTTTGTGGAAACCGGATTTTTTGATGAATAGAAAGTTCAAAAGAACAGCATTCATTTGAAATGGATCTCTTTTTGTAACATTATAAATGTCTTTACTGTCAATGGATTGCATCCTTGCTGAATAAAATAATTAATTTATTTTATTTTAAAAATAAATCATACTGGCCCTAAACTTTTGAACAGTAGCAAAGTATTTCATACAGCAAATCATTTGGCTGACCTTCTTCAGCTTCAGTCACTGAAATTTAAAGTGCCAAGTTGATCATTTTAATAAATAGAGAAATGAAATGCCCTCAAGGAACACTGATGTATCCAGTCAGTGGCAAGGAGAAATCCTTTTCGTCTGTCAGCGGTTACCTGATGTAGGAACCTCAGATTTGGATTCCGGTAGAATGAATTTTGAATGAAGCCTCCATTTTCCCTCGGCTGCCAGGCATTGCTGTACCACGCTGACCCGGCATTCAAATGCCCACATGCCTTCATACTTACACTGGTGCAGTTGTTGTCATGAGCTTCCACTGTCTTGTAGTCTTGTCTGTTAAATGCACTCTGTTTATCCCACAAGCGAAAGTGTTAAATATAGTTATATTGAGTTGGCCATATTATTGCAACATGTCGGCTCCCACGTACAAAAAAGTAGGCCATCTAACCATCAATTCTCACTGTCTTCAAATGTGTGTGTGACCTGTGAGCTATGTCAAACACTCTGTCAGACATGCACACACTTTTCCTCTCGCTCCTGCCACTCTGTGTCTCTCTCACATACACTCTCCTACGAGGAGATTAAAGTAAGTCTAAAGCCCCCCCTGGGCTGTGGTTATTCCATTAATAGGACTGCCTTTAGTAGCTAAAGCAACATAGATTCACCATGGCTTATTGGCTAAAATGAACTCTGTACATACACTGCTGCCCCCTGTGGTTAAGATGGGGTACTACATCACATTGCTGCATTGGTTATACACTACAATTTTGGGGGTCGGAATTTTGGGGGTCGGTAAGATTTAAAAAAATGTTTTTGAAAGAAGTCTCTTATGCTCACAAAGGATACATTTATTTGATAAAAATATTGTGAAATTTTATCACAAGTTAAAATGTTTTCTATTTTAATATGTAGTTTATTCCTGTGATGGTAAAGTGGTGAATTTTCAGCAGCCATTATTCCTGTCTTCAGTGTCACAGGATCCTTCAGAAATCATTTTAATATGCTGATTTGGTGCTCAGGAAACGTTTCTTATTATTATCTGTGTGATCTTTTTTTTTTTCACGATTCTTTTGTAAATAGAAAGTTTAAAAGAACAGCATTTATTTTAAAATCTTTTGTAACAATGCAAAAGTCGTTACTGTCACTTTTGATCAATTGAATGCATCCTTGCTAAATAAACATACTAATTTTTTTTTTTAAGAAAAAAAATCTTACTGACCCCAAAAGTTTTTGAACGGTAGTGACTATATAGTGTATATATATAGCATATTCTTTTTTTGTGATATATATATATATATTGAATATATTAATATATAAAGTTAAAAAAAATACAGCCTATTGTGTGTGTGTATCTTTGCTCCTGTTTTTTTTTACCTGTCTTTCATGTCTCTCTTTTTCTCTTCAGGGAGTACTGGACAGAATTTCTCAGATCCAGCCCAAGTTGATATTCTCAGTAGCAGCTGTTGTGTATAACGGCAAGCAGCACGACCATATGGAGAAACTCCAGAACGTTGTTAAAGGTATAAAGCACAAGTGTTTCAGCTCACGCACAGCTAGATTTTCCCCATCACGTCGTCTTGTTGATATGTTTGCATTTCATTGAGCCTCATATAATTGTTTTTCCCCCCATCATCTCTCTCAGGTCTCCCTGACCTGAAGAAGGTTGTGGTCATTCCATACGTTCGCTCTCGACAAGAAACCGACCTCTCCAAGATTCCCAACAGGTCTGTGCATCTATGTGTGTGCTAACAATCACATTATACGTACAAGTTTAATTTGAATCGGCAAGAATGCATTTCATTGATCAAAAGTTACGATGGTACAAAATAAACCTTTCTATTCATCAAAGAATCTTGAAAAAATGTATCAGTTAATATTAATACAACTGTTTTAGGAATGATGCTGAAAATTCAGCCTTGCCATCATAAGAATAAATGAAATATTAAAATATATTAAAACAGAAGCTGGTCACTTTATTATATAATATTCATGTTTTTATGATCAAACAAATGCAGACATTTTACCATCCCCAAACATTTGAACAGTAGTGTACATTTGTATGTAATACATTGGTGTATTATAAAATGAATTATTAAATATTTCATAACATTTATATAATCTGTCAAGCCTAATATTTGTTGATAAATATCTGTTGTGTTATTTAATATTAAAAAATAAATGTGATTTGGGTATATTCTATGGAACTTCTTTACTGTTATGTAACCCGTGGCTATGACATTATAACTGCTACTTCAAATTCACACATTGATATGGAATCTTACTTAAGATGGCTGAATACCCTGTGAAGTCAGTTTTTCAGGTAACTTTTGGGTGATTGGAAGGAAGACACCTCAAGTGTCTGAATCAATTGTGTTGTGGAATTCCTCACTTATAAATCACTTTGTCTAAATCAATCAATGTTAAATCTTTGTTAGCCCTTGTTAAACTGAAGACTAGATCAATTCCAAATTTCTCTATGAAGTTGCATATGCTATATGGGTTTTATATTGTCTGGTTAGGATAGAGTCTGTCCTGAATCTCTGTGTTCTTTACTGTTTTTTCAGTGTGTTCCTGGAGGACTTCTTGGCCACGGGGAAAGAAGGGGATCAGGACCCTCAGCTGGAGTTTGAGCAGCTTCCCTTCTCTCATCCTCTCTTCATCATGTACTCCTCTGGCACCACAGGAGCTCCCAAGTGCATGGTGCACTCTGCTGGGGTGAGTGTGTGTTATGCAGAGTCCAAATGATATATTGTGCACTGTGCAATACCCACTTGAGGCATCCATTTTCAGATTCATTTTTGAAGCTTGCCGTTGTTCCGATTCCCCGAACATGACGTATAAAGAAAGAAAATACCGATGGTAGCATTTGTTTTGCAGGTATACAAATATCAACAGCTGAATGATCAATTTACCATGTAAAAACTTTGCTTGGGGCAGTGTTGTTATTGTTAACTAAAACTATTAAAACTCATTATCATTCATTTATAAAAGCTGAAATAAAATAAAATATAAATATCAGTTAGTTGCTAAGGCAGCATTTCTTATTTTCGTTGAAGTACTAAAATTACTAAAAACTGAAATAGAAATAAATTAAATAGAAATAGAAATGTTCGGGGGTTTTTTAACTATAAAAATGTCAAGCATATAACAGAATGTCAGGCCCCTGCTAACAACATCCCGGTCGGGGCCAATAGCCTTGGACATCAAGCACCGAGGCAAAAATCAAGTTGCGTTTCCACTATCGGACCAGAAAAGGCGCAGCGCTACCTTAAAACACGCCTCCATAGGATGACGTCACACAACCTCACCATTTCACCAGCTGACTGAAATCTAGCTAGATCGCAAAATGAGCATGACTGAAACGAACTTAAGATTCCAGCTTTGATATTTGACCAATGTTTGACAGTAATTTTTTTTTTTTACAGTGACAGCAATTTATTAATTTGTGTCAGGAGTGCATATCAATCATGCTGAATCAAACTGGGATTTACCGTTTCACATAAAAAGAGAGCACATACCTATTCAGTTGCACCTGCTTCCATTTATTTTACGATCACAGGAATGCACAAAACAACTCCATTAAGGTTTACACCCTTAGAAAAATATTGATAAAATATGTTTACGTCACATTTTTTGGAAAGAGTGAGCATTTCTATTAATTTTCCACAAATGATGCGGCCTAAGGAGGTTTGAGCGATCTCTCCTGTCTCACTATCCCTTCAGTCAGAGCAACAGAGGGAGCTCACGGACAGAAAACACAAAGTTATGAGTTCTACGAGTTAACCAGAGTTCATATTTTTTATTGACGTACTGTATATGCTTATGCTTTAGCCAGGTATCAACAAAGGCACAGGGAAGAGACAGATAAAACATGAATCCAAATAAATACACGATTGTAATCATATGATATGGTTGAACGCAAAGCTTTAAATCTATTTTTTAATCCCAAATCCCATATTTTTTTCATCACCATGTCCCTTTAGGGGCTCCGTAACCTTTCCACTTGGTCTGCTTCTTAAACTACTGCATCATTTCTCTTGGTTGTGATTTCTGTACATTAGTGCCAAGTGCCAACATCACATTAAATAAAAAGAGTTAAAGGAGTTCCTTCCTAAAGGAGTTGGTCAAAATCTGTTGAATCAGCAACATAGACCACTAGATGGCAATAAGAGACCATTTTCAAATCTCTACGACACTATAAGCCAGATGGGATGAGCAATTATGTGCACCATTGCCATCCGTTCTGAATGCATTTCCTGTATAATCCCAACATTAGGGACACAGCAGATGTAAATCAACCTTGGTTCCTGTACTCATTCCCACAAATACACAGGTTCCACAGAAAATTCATCTGAAAAGCAGTGCTTGATCTCTTTTTTGTTTTGTGCTTCACAAACACTTCATATGTGCTTGGTTGGTGTGTGTGTGTATAGCACTGTGTTTTTTTTATTTTCACGTTTTCACTGCTTTTCCCTTCAGCCTTTGCGGCGTTTGTGTCTGACGCCTCTCTTGCGTGTTAGAAAATTAGAGCCCTGTGTGAATGAAAACACACAATCATGTGTACACATGAATATCTTTTGTATCTTCCATATCTTTTGCTCTTCTCGCTCTATGGATGGTCAATATTCAGTTGCTTTTATGAAAACAGTACTTGTGTTGGGTTATAGCAGTTAGGGAATGAAGGAACACGCTCATAATTAATGCTTTCACTAGGATACAGGTTAGGTGCATACTACAGGGTTTGTGATGTTGTTTTTTTCCTCCTTTTTTTTAAAATCCATGCAGTGTCGCTGATCCTTTAGTTTGGTAATTAGGTCGTTCCCTGCCAGCCAGAATCCATCTGAACGTATGACACCAGCACAAGAGAAAGAACTTGAGGAGAACGTGACATCCAGTAAAACAAACACAATCCTCAACTAATGTTTTTGTTATGCCTCCTCTAATATTACAGATTTTTCTTAGCCATTTTTCCACCAACCTGTCTCAAGGTGATTTTAAGTCATTTCCCCTCAGATTCACACAGATGTCCTAGCAGAGTAACCACATGTGTGGTTCATCATGTTAACTATGAACATGTTCAACGCCCAGTTACCAGTCTGACCCTTTTATTCTCCATTCCCCAGGGCACTCTCATCCAACATCTTAAAGAACACATTCTCCATGGCAACATGACCTACAATGATGTCATCATATATTACACTACGGTATGTATCTGCGACCTTAGATGCCGTAACTACACCGTCATGGGGGAAAACGGTAGCAGTGTATTCTAAATTAAATACTTTTTGCAAGCAACATATTCACTAACAAAAGAACGGGGTCAGTAAGATTCTTTTAATGTTTTTGAAACCTCAATGCTCGCCAGTTTAAATGATCAAAAATATGGTAAAACAGTAATATTGTGAAAGATTATTACAATTTAAAATAACTGTTTTCTATTTTAATACATTTTATAATGCATTTAATTTCTGTGAATTTTCAGTCCCATTTCTCCAGTAAAATCATTCTAATTTGCTGATTTGGCTCAAAAGAAACATTTAATATTTTTGTGGAAACTAATACTTTTTTCAGGATTCTTTGATGAAAAGAAAAAACAGCATTTGTTTAAAATTCTTTACTGTTGCTTTTAAATAAATTTAATGTGTCCTTGCTAATTAAATATACTGTGTGTGTGTATATATGTATATATATATATATATATATATATATATATATATATATATATATTAGGGGTTTAACAATATATCGTGTCACAATATATCGCAATACAAAAATTCAACCATATGTATCGTGGATAGTTCACCCTAAATAAAAATTACTTTGTGAGAAAAAAGTTTTTAGACTTTTAGAGTCAGAAGTACATTAAACCACTATATAATGTTGAATATAATGTATAATAATGCAATGGGGGAATATTTGTGGGTCCTGATAATGCCAAATGTCTTTATTTTAAATATATAGTCAGTGAAAGAGTCTAAAATAATTCTGTATTTTCAGCTTCAGAATCATGAATATTTTTATTCTGGTGTCTCTTTTGTCCTGTGCATTGGGTTTCCAGCACCGAGTCCAAGCCTGTTCATTTACACACACAATGTAATACCAAATTTAGCATTTTTAATCTACAGTTTTTTTGTTAACCTTTTATCATATGTCTTGGAGTATCGCAATAATATCGTATTGTGAGTTCAGTATCGTGATATGTATGGAATCATGACATGAGGTTACACCCCTATCTATATATATATATATATATATATATATATATAAAATACATTTTAAAAAGTTCTAATTTCTATCTTTCTCACTGACCCCAAATTGTTGAATAGTAGTGGCATTTACAGCTCAGGTGATTAGCAGCATGCAGGTTGTGTACTTCTACAGGTATTATAGATCTCTTTGCATTAGTCTATGATTAATATATTATTTTATGCCACCCCCACAGCCTTGGTTATTACAATGAAAAAAGTAATCTCAGAGGTAGAGAACATTATTACATTTTGATGAAAGATTATGAACAAACTTTTTTCTTTAGAATAACGCACACTTATGAATCGTACACAGGAACAACAGGGACATCAAGTAATAAATCTGATTAACACCATACTCCATGATGTCTTTGTTAGGAAAATATATTTTCTTTACACTGTGTCTTTTGTTTGCAAAATGAAGGTACACGTCATTTTGAATATTTAGTTAGTCCAGTGTGATATTCAGAGTAATATTTGAATTGAAATGGACCATTTTGAACACTGTTTGTTAAACCTTGTGGAGTAGTTATGTTTATCTACAGAAACCTGGTCAAATACGAGACAGAAATTCTCTGACCCAATCTAAAAGCAGGGCTCTCTTTTTTATGTGCAGGCGGGCTGGATGATGTGGAACTGGCTTATGTCCTCTTTAGCCGTTGGGGCTTCTGTGGTCCTGTACGACGGCTCTCCTCTTATTCCCAGTGCCAATGTGCTCTGGGACCTCGTAGACCGTTTGGGGTAAGTTTGTGTTGTGTGAGAGAGAGACTCTCTAATGAAGGTGTTACAGTCAGGAGCTTCAGTCTGTCTTTTTCCTCATGCTCGTGCTGTAATTGGCCGAGGTGTGGCAGCGCTTATCACTAGCATTTGCTGTGCCCTTTGTGTAAATGACACCACATCACCACGGCAACCTGATTTAAAGAGACCGCTCTAATTGGCCACCTCTAATGTGGCATCGAGTTCCTTTCAGAGTTTACCTGTTATTGATCAGAAAGGATCGAAGTGCAACAGACACTGGAGTTTTGTGTGTGTGTGTGTGTGTGTGTGTGTGTGTGCGCGCTCATTTTCAGTCTCTCTTGGCTGCTGGTGAAAGCTTCTATTCTTAACTTTCATTGTCTCACCTTTTCCCAAGAGCAAGAAAATAGAGAATTTTTTTTGCAGCAGCTTTTGGGAAATCCAAAACATGCACACATTTTTATTACTCACCAGACCCATGTGTGCTGCTTGAATTACTTCAGAGACATTCATTTTTAAATATTTATTTTAATTTGGCCTGTCAATTGATTAAAAATTAAAATTTAAAATTTAATACACTGCCATTTAATAGTTAATACTGAATGAAATTAAATGAAATTCAACTCAATGAAATTAATACTTTTATTCAGCAGGGAAGTGACACTGTTGACAGTTATTTAAAAAAAAGTACCTTTATTATGTTGCAATTCAATTTTTTTTTTAAATAAATGCTGCTCTTTTATACTTATCAAAGAATCCGGAAAAAATGTCTACCATAGTTTTCACAAAAATATTAATATAAATGTTTTTAACATTGAGAATAATAAATGTTTCTTGATCACCAAATCAGCATATTAGACTGATTTCTGAAGGATCATGTCATGTGACACTGAAGACTGGAGTAATGACTGCTGAAAATTCAGCTTTGCCATCACAGGAAAAAAATTACATTTTAAAATATATGAAAATAGAAAACTGGAATTTAAAATTGTAATTATATTTAAAATATTACTGTTTACTGTATTTTTAAACAATAAATGAAGAAATAATAATAAAAAAACAGCCTTAAATAAATGCAGCCTTGGTGATCAGAAGAAACTCCTTACAGACTTTTAAACGCAAGTGTAATGATTTAATTAAATTAATTGCAAAAATACCCTAAATAAAGAATATTTAAAGACAACATTGTGGTAAACAAGTAAAGTATTGAATAGACATTACAAAAAATTACTTAAGAGGTCAGTTTAAATTTTTTTTTTTTTTACAAAATAGTTCCATAAGCCTATCACAGTACTGGTCCACAGCAATTTATATCACAATTGAGTCGGTTAGTGAAGTCAGTCTGAATGTTCATGCATGACGCATTCTCGCATTCACTCTGTACTATTTTTTAAGTGTTGGTCTGTGTACATGTTTGTCTTTGGCCATTTCTCAACTTTTAAAGGGGTCATATAATGGTACATGCACTTTTTCAAGTTGATTGTACTGAAATGTGTGTTGGCAGTGCCTGTACACAACCATCATATAATGATAAAAATCTATCCAGTGTTTTTGTTTTAATCTCCTTATGTTTTCCCCTGCCTCAAATTGAGCCGTTTGTTTTTGTGACGTCAATAAAATGGACGCCCCTCCCACAATTGTTGATTGACAGCAGCGTTTCAACACAGACCCGCCCTGAGCGAGCTGTCATCATAGTCCGTCATTGTTGATACGCTGGAGCAGAATGGTGTCTAAGCGATTGTGGTGTTCTGTTCTTGGGTGTAATAACGAACACGGTCATTTTGATGTTCCTAAATCCGAACCGCTGAAGACGCAGTGGCTGAGTTTTGTTTTCGAAGGGAATATTCCCCACGAGCAACGTCACTGCTTTCATGTTTGCGTTATTCGCGAATCTTTACGCAGACTGCTTTATAAACGAGGGTCAGACTCAGTATAAAGCTGGTTTTGCTAAGAAGCTGCTCCTGAAAAAAGAATCGGCGGTACCAACTATTCATGTCCCTGCTGCACCTCCAGAAGAAGTGAGTGTAAAATTGTATATTTTATATTAATCTTTGCAAATCACTTGCACGCTTCACGATGAATGCGGCTAAGGTTTACACGGCATGTTTTCTATACGATGTTCTCAATATAATTCATAATCCCACGTTTATAATGAACAACGCGTTATGGTTATTGTGTTATTACAAACTGAGTATGTATACATCAGTAAACATAGCGTTCGTACATCTCACTAAGTTACTCTACCCTGCCAGTACACAAAGATAGATCAAAGTGACATTATGTTAACCAACCATTCAGAAACGTCCTGTTCGAGCCTTTATTGTCGAACTTCTTTGCGGCCGTCATCTTGTTCCGGGTCCGACTCCGGTTCAAACTGATACCATTGCACAGATGTGTCCTCAGAGACTTTCTCCATTCTTTCTCCAAAATATACCCTCAACTGTTGTCAAGGCAACACTCCACGTGCGTTGTGTCAAAACGCCCGCAGAACAGAGGCGCGGAGTGAGCGAAGCTCATTATCATTTAAACGCATATGCACTGAAACGGCATGCTGAAAACAGCTGTTTTTGACCAGGTAAAATTAGTGTTTTCTTACAACACTAATGAGAATTTTTAATTAAAGTATATTACAAACTTTTCATTTAGACCCTAAAGAATCAAATTAACTTGGCATTATATGACCCCTTTAAAGCATGTCTCAAAGCCCCCGCGTTCAGTTCCATGCAGTTGCATTCTGTCTTACTGTTCTGAATGCAACAATGCGTCCTGCGTGATCTGATTCTGTGCAGTCTGTTTTTGGTAAATGTGATTTGGCGAGGCGTGTTGCCTGTAGTAGCAGCTGAGCTTCAAGCTTGAATTGCTTTAATCATAGGAATATTCCTTAATGTGGAATTTACTTATGGGTCAGGTGGCATGCTTAAATAGTGTTTTTTTTTATCACATTATTTTTTAATTCATATTATTATTTAAATGAATGTGTTAAATGAACTGTCCTAATTTTGAAAGGCAGCTCTGGTTTGTATCTGAGAGTATGTTATGCAAGTTATTCCTCTAGGCTGTATAGGGTTTATTTAGAGTTCACTGTGAGGAAAAAAAGATTAGAGGATATGCTGTTGTTCAGTATAGATTAAAAATACAAAACTAGTGTGCACATCCCTAACACCCAGATTGGGCTCAGGTGCAGGACAACAAAGTAACATAAACGAAAAAAGAAGCGTGAATTCCGCACAATGAAAATAGCTGCTCCAAATGAATTTATTAATAGCACAACGTTTCGACCGTCAGGTCTTCATCAGGCATAATACCAATGTAGAGTAAAGTCAACTTTAAATAGAAACAGGTAATCGCCTTAATTGGGCCCACACACAAAAACATGTGACAAATAATACAAGTAATGTGACAAAAAAAAATATCAGTATAGATCAAACCCACAAACTTTTACCTGTTAGTCCTGGTCATTTAAAGTCAGCATGAAACATTATCCATGAACCATTATCCATTTTGTAAATGCATGTTGTAGATCTTGAGCCCAAAGCATATTTTGGCTGTCTGCATTCTACGACTGCAATTTTCGTAATTCACCATCTGTGTGCTGCCCAATTTTTGTGTCTTTTTTATTAGACTATGAGAATGTTTACATGGTAACCTGTTTTATTTCAAAAGAGCGAGGAAAATATTGTTTTCCATTCCTTTAAACTTCAAATTGAAGCACTTTACGAGCAGAATAAAGTGTTTTATAGATCGGCCATTTTTAAGCAGGAATATGGCCGGTCTATAAAACACTTTATTCAGTTTGTAAAGTGCTTATTTCAAAACTAGTAACACAGCAAAAGTTTGGTACACCTAAAAATGGAAACTACAAGACTCAAGCTTAATACTTTTGATCTTTTAGTCTTTTGCAAATAATTTGCAGATCGTAGTTAATACCCATTCATACCCTTGAGGTGTGCAGACTTCTGAGACACGTACTGACACGTCGTACTATAGGTGGCACGACAGATTTCAACTTCGTTTTAAGACTTGGGCCATCTAGTCTTTAATTGTGTTCACAATCCAGATGAGAGAGCAGTAATGAGCAAAAGCGAATAAAGTTGTGAGAGAGCAAGGCATTGAGAAGCTGGAGCAAAAAATAAATAAATAGAAAAACATCAAAATGCCTCTCCACTCTCACCATGCACGGTTTCATCTTTATTTTTTAACTCTGTTTCTTATTGTTCATGTAAAAACAATCGCAAGCTCTTCCTCTATGCTGTCTTTTTTTATATTGACAAGAAACACCTCTCCTGTTGCTTTAAGTAAGTTTGTGAGGGAATGTATTATGGGATCATCACTTCAGTCCAGGTCTGTGATCAGTTGTGTAGTGTACTCTATGCAGTCTGAATGTGTAGACATGTTTGTGATACAAATAAATGGACAGACTGAATCAACCCATCTACCCCTCTTTTCCAGACAAGCTAAAACTCTTCCTGATGTCCACCACATGATAAATAAAACATGTTCTCTCTTTTGTCCCTATGTTTAGTTGTACAAATATACTGATCCTGGATTAGCTTTTATCTTCGGCTGGTCCCCCTTCAGATTAATTATGTTTAATGTTTACAAATGATCAATATTCAATCAGAGGGCAGATGTGGTGTCCATGTAGATGAAGGAAAATGTGTTAGGGAAACCTGTTCTGGACAAAGGGCCATTGTGAAACTTGGTCATGCTAGACAACTCTTTCTTTGTCCCATATGGTCACTGTTGGCTGATCATCCATCCATCCATCCATCCTTTTTCCAAACCGCTGGTCCTATGTGGGTACAGAATAATATCATCAGGTATAAATTCCTTTATAATCGATTATTAAAGGGTAACTAAACCCATGGTCAGAGCCTGACTCCACCCACTGGCAATATTTGAAAAATGCTGATAAAATGGGCAGACCCCAGCGGAGATAGAGGGGACAAACCGAGGGCGGGGCTGAGCGGGGGGGGGGGGGCGTGCACCTGAGACCCGCAGTGACA